CCCTCCCTCCCTCCCTCCCTCCCTCTCTCTCTCTCTCTCACACACACACACGGCACACTGACAAATCTCAAAAGTGTTGCTGATATTATGGAGGCCACTTTGGAGAGGAAAATTCATAAGTGGGATATTACCACTGAGAAGCTCTAAGATCTTCTCCCTTCACATAAGTGGTCCCAATCTTGGGCCTTTTTTTAGTATTAAAAAATAAGAGAATCCAATGCATGTTTCATAACTGAATTCCCCTGGGAAAGTGAAAAGGCTATATCAAGTAAGTTTGCTTTTATAGGACCTACCCATAGAAACAGAGCATTTAAGGTCATTTCACTGTTTTACTAGGACTTTTTAGGATTCCCCAAAGGGTGATTTCCCATTCCAGTAACTCTTGCCCAAAAATCTGAAGGCTGAGTCAGGTGAATGGACACGTGAGACCATTGTTCTGTCTTCCTGTGGAATCCCTTTGGTTAAGGAGTGTGCAACTGTTGCTTGTTTTGAGGGCAGGGTATGAATTCTTCTCAAATGCTCCCAATGTCCTTTGGGAAAGAGCCAAATAAACTCCAATTTGTGGATAGTTAGATTAGATTCTCAGATGCACAGAACACAGAGGCATAAACACACACCTTGCTTCATGCAGTTTCATAAGTGAGTGCAATTCTCGTGCCATGTTTTGTTTCTTCACCTTCAAAACAGGAGTTTTACTATTTACCCACTTTAAGACAATAGCTGCTGAAGGTTGAATACTATCCTGGGTAGAGAAACACTTTTGAAACCATCAGTTAGAAAGCATTGCTGACATGCCAACAGAGAGGAGTTGTTACACTGTTAGCCTGCCAAAAATTTAAAGAAGAACTTGACCTTGCATTCCTTCTGCACCCAGAACGCACCCTGAGTGGAGAAACAATTACACACCCCACATTGGAGGACAGAGAGCTTCACCTCTCTATGAACTGAATTAAAAGCATGCACCAAAAAAATAATTTCATCAGGCTTAGAGGATAATTGAAGGGTTTTTTAAAAAATAAATCATAATCATGAGAATACAGTAATTTCTTCTTTAAAAGCTATGGTTACTGTTTGAATTTAATTTGGACCTTTAACTTATTGTACCCTTTTGTAGGTTTTGTAATACTGGTGGTCATAGCTACATTATCTGTTAGGCGTAAAAGAATAATTTGAACCTGTGCCAATACCAAGCACTTTGAATGAGCTATTTGCAAGCATGCTCTAGAAAAGTTGCCACTCTGCATTCTTCTGTTGCCTAAATAGATCTTTCTCCTTTCCTTTGGCTGCAGACTTAACTTGAGGAAGAAATGTCAAGAAGTATATTGCAAGTCCTGTATGAATATTTACATATTCTTTAAAATAGATCCTTGTGGTATATGCTTGGCGGTAATTATGTGATCTATTGATTCATTATCAATGTCTCCAGTAAGAGATGCCAAATTCTGTCTGTAATTATAGGAATAAGATGGAAACCTAAATTACTAAAATGAAAACAAGAATTTTAATGCTTGCAATTCACTGCAGATTTGTAATTTTGAATCGTCAAATGGCTTAACATGATTCGTGCTTGTTCAAAAAAAGTTATCAGAAATCTCAAGCTTATGCCAGTCAGAAGAATATACTTCAGTGGTGGGATTCAAAAATCTTTACTACTGGTTCTGTGGGCATGGCTTGGTGGGCATGGCTTGGTGGGTGTGGCAGGGGAAGGATATTGTAAAATCTCCATTCCCTCCCCATTCCAGGGGAAGCATTCTGAAAAATCTCCTTTTCCTCCCGATCAGCTGGGACTCAGGAGGCAGAGAATAGATGAGGGTGGGGCCAGTCAGAGGTGGTATTTACCAGTTCGCCGAACTACTCAAAATTTCCGCTACCAGTTCTCCAGAACTGGTCAGAACCTCCTCAATACCACCTCTGATATACTTGGTTCAAATGTAGTTCAAATAGCTATTTCAAATATCAGCCATCAACACATCATTGCAAGATAGCAGCAACCTGTCAGGTGTTGTGGGAGTGTCCACAACTAATAAGGCCATTAGGCTGGTAAGGGGTCATGCTATTCCAATGCCATCACAGGAGTACATTTCTAAGCAGAAGTGATTGGATTTTTATAAATGAGTGAAATACATTAACCATAACATAATATGGGTTTTCCTACAGCTTGCCCTTAGCAGATTAGCATTTAATACAGTGAAGTATAGTGCAGTATAGTGCAGAAAGAAAAGAAGGAAAAGGCAAGATAGTCTTAAGGATAAGGAACTTAAAAAAAAATAGCATAGTGGCATGGATCAGGAAGGTAGAGTGAAACCAAGAGAAAAAACTAGAGGTTACCCCAAATACGACCTTATTATCAACTCCCAATCCTGATAGCATCAGTGCTGCTTTTGTTGAACATAATAAGCTTGCATTTGAATATATCCAGGTTTTTAGTAGTTATGACAAAGTTGTATGAATGTGTAGAACATAGCAAGATGGTATCTAGCATCTGATATGATGTGAAAATAACTCTTAGCTTGCAAACAGGGAAACTGGGAGCAGAAAAAACTTTATCTTGGGCAGGTAGGTAGAAAAGAAGGGGGTGGGCATTTCTTTATTAGTTCTTCAAATAGCCAAGATTGTAATCCTATTAATTGAGATCTAACTGGAATTGGAAATGAATATTGACCTACCAGATTATGGCTACAAAAATTTAGATAACCATGAATTGGGAGGAAAAAATACAGAAAACTTTTTTAAATCACCATTTAGTGATTAACAGATTTTTGGAGCATCACTAAGGGAGAACTGAATGCAGGAGAACTTTTTTCTTCCTTTTTCATGTGAGTAGAAAACATCATTTCATTTTCATACAACCGAAGAGCAAATGACAAAATAATAAATAGCACTCAAAAAGCAAAGAAAGTTGATGCAATTCTGCACATATTTACTAAAATTGAGGTGCAGAATGTTCTTTGGTGCTCATTCAAATTATATTAGTATGATTGCAGACTAAAACCAAACAATATCCAGGTATATTGATCATGCCATTGTGATTTTAATTCATGACTTATTGAGTAAAACATAGTACAGTTACTGGATCTGCATATCATACTACATGGTAAACCATGTTTCACAATCATGATACTATATCTACATCTACATAACAAAACTAAAAAAATGAAACTAATTAGATTATTGTTGAACATAATGTGTGGATTTGGCCAGTGTTATCCTGACTGTCCTTTCTATAACTTGTCATGCTTATAAAAATATGTTAATATTTATTACACCAAGGTGTATATGTGAAAAAAACTTATTTTGACTATAAACATCATTGGTACTTTATCAGACCCATTTAATGCAATTGAAATGTAATGATGCTTGAGTAAATATTATGTAGATTAAGGTGAATGTACTCTCTCTGCTTGGGGTTTGCAGTGTGTTTTTAGTTTTTATAATTTTAATGCTGATTTTTATATTTTTAACTGTATGTTTTTATATATGTATTGTTCTTTACCAATTATTGTACAACACCCAAAGTCACTTTTAATGAGATGGATAGCTATATAAATTTAATTAATAAATAAATAAAGATATTAATTGCACTAAATTGCATTACAGGTGCTTCTAAGCTATTTAAATTATTTTGTAGGCATTTGTATTCTATAGTAAGACTAATTCTATCCTGCTTCTCATGTACTAAAATTATGTCTTATTCAGGATGCTTCAGATCTAGTCATTTTCTTTACAAAGGTAAAGAAGTTTAAGAAATTATTGCTAACAAAGTCTCTCTTTTTTTGTCTAGGGTTGTGATGCCATTCATAAAGTCTATCCTTTTGATCTTGCCATCCGTGCAAACTGTATGGAAGAGCTTGACAGATGGTTTCATTGCACCAGTGTGTCACAGCATGGGACAGTGCTTTTCAGGAATCAACATACGCCTTGACCAAGAGTGAACAATTTGGATCCAATGCTATTTTAGTCTTAAGTGCTATTAAAATCTCCTTATTGGTATAATGTAGAGACACATAAGCATTCATTCCAAAGCTACTGCTGTTTAAAGGAATGACATTTTCGCCCTTCAGCTGGGTTGCACTTTTTATGGAGGGAAAAGCTTGCTTTGGGGATAGGGAAGATACCGATATTGTAACTAAAAGATAACAAGTGACATTTAACAATGTTAAGGTAATGGTACTGCTAATGCTTGGTTTCCGTAAATGTGTTGTGGATAACTAAGGGATGTCATCTTGAAGTGTATCAATCAAATTTTCATCTATTGTATTACTCAAATTTCCTAGAAATCATTCTATCAATAGATTTGCCTGTTTATTGACTATAAACAGCTCTTAGAAATAAGAATGTAAAAGGTTAATTTGGAAGAGGTTTCTTATCTGAATTCTGCTGGTCAGCCTTTCTAGCCACACAAACAGCTAGCTCTGTTTGTTTATAGATTCTATAATCCATCAGCTTCTTGAACTGTATAACCTCTTAGTATACAGGTAGTCCTCGACTTACGACAACCACAATTGAGCCCAAAATGTATGTTGCTAAGTGAAACATTTGTTAATTTTGCCCTACTTTGCAATCATTTTCTTGCCATAGTTGTTAAATGAATCACTGCAGTTGTTAAATTAGTGGCATGATTGATAAGTGACTCTGGCTTCCCCATTGACTTTGCTTGACAGAAGGTCACAAAAGGTCGGGACACTGAAACCCTCATAAACATGAGCCAGTTGCCAAGAATCTTAATTTGGATCACATGACCATGGGGATGCTGCAACCGTCATACGTGTGAAAAATGATCACAAGTCACTTTTTTCAGTGCCATAACTTTGAACAGTCACTAAATGAACTGTTGTAAGTCAAGGACTACTTGTAATTCTGTTCTAACCTAGGCTTCCCCAAAAAGCACGAAGGAGAGTCCTGGTCCCAACAAAACCCCTTTTATTAAACAAATGTGACTTCCTCTCATTCACATTCAGCCAAGGCCTGGCAAGCAGTCTTTCAAAGGAATAATTATGACTACAGACCTTATCTATCTTGGAGAGCTGCCATGTAAATATTTTCCAAATGAGGTGCTGTGCAAAGAAAGACTGGGTACAGAGTTTCTGAGGTTCACGGACAGATTTTCACACTCCTGAAATGAATCTTAACAACCAAACGAATGAATTGTTTCCTGCAAAAACCTTTCACTCCTCTTTTATTTCCTATGGGAGGGGCCAATCACCTTCCATCTGTAACTTTACTCCCAAGTCGATCCTGCTTTCTGAGTTCTTTTTTTCTTCTGGCAGCTCTGCACATGCGCACACTGGGAACAGGCTCCAGCTGTTCTTCTGCCTCACTGCTGCCTAGCTCCATAGGGACCTCATCACTACCAGACGGCCTCAGTCCCATCTCTGCCTCTGACGCAGAGCCCTCATCCGAGCCTTCCCCAGTCTCCAGGACTGGCCCATGTGCCTCCCCAACCTCCTCATTGTCCGACTCTACTGCCAGCTCCGCTGGCCACTAGGAGGCCACAGTAAATTCATATTTCAAATACTGATAGTTTCCCAAACCCATGGATTTCCAAAACAATAGGATCTTAAAATCTGGTAGAATCCATGCACATTCAGTGAATAATAAAGGTGACATTTCAGTGATTGCTTAGAGAGCAGCAGAAATGTTTATAGTACAATACAAGCAAAAACAGGTAAATGCTTATGTGAGCACAGCCATTTGAGAAGCTTAATACGGTATTGCCTGCAAGTCATTGGGGCCTTTCCTCTCATTTTTATGCTTACAAATATTTTGGAGCATATATTCACATATCCTTGGATCACTGATTAGTTCCAGCCCCAGATCATGAAAGCCCCATTCCCAAAGTTTACAGTGAGGTGTTCAGCTGTACAAATGTGCTCCAAGTGCAATTTCCAAATAATAGAAGAATTCATTCAACTATTTTTTTCTTGTTTGCATCAATGTCTATAGGAAAACTCTCGCAGGACTTCTGTGAATTAGACTAGCATTTAAAGACTCTGATCTGTATAACCAAGTACATGCCTCATGGGAAGAGGGAGGTTATAAGGGATATCTTTTAACAGGATTTGAGGATTTCTAAAATTGTGTAAAAGTTGTGAATTCAAAAGAGTTGTATAGCAAATAGATATAAAGCTTAACAGATAAAGGATACTGGCTGAATACTTCTTATATTGCCCTCTGTGCATATTCCTAAGTATCAGAAGAAAAACAAAACCTTCCCAAATCCACTCTTTAAAATGAGATGTTGATCTGAGAAGAAAGAAAATCTTTATGCTATATTTAATTAAACTTTTGACTTTTTTGTATATATTGTGTTTTTTATGTAAATGACAAAGTAAAAGGTTGTCTTGAAGTATTATTTTTGTGAACTTGCCAAATAGTTATTCTAAAAACATGGACTACTTCAGCCAGTGGTCTGCTGTAGAGATCTGCCTTGCATGGAAAGCAGGGGTGGGTTAGTGTCAGTTCGCTTCATCTGCACTTTGCGCGTGTGCAGTTGAGCAAAATTGTTTTGTGCATGCACAGAACATGAAAAACCAAGCCAGCATGGGTCACCAGGGTTAGGGGGCTGTCCCTACCAGTTCAGCGTCCCAATTTCCAGTACCGGTTTGCTCGAACCGGTGCAAACCGGTAACAACCCACCAATGGTGGGTTTCAAAAATTGTTCGAACCTACTCTATGGGTGTGGCCTCCTTTGTGGGAGTGGCTTGCTGCCCATGTGACTGGATGGGAGTGGCTTGCCGCCCATGTGACCGGATGTGAAGATGCCAACGACACTTGTCAGAATCACCTTAAATTACCTCACACACAGCACTGGCATGCATAAGAATATGATGTAAACTTGTTTTTAAAAAGGCATCTTTGGTTTGCGTTAAAACAACTTCAACACACGCAATGTTCTGATTGCACCACAAATGTAGTAATCATCCTTACCTTTCACAGAGGCACTGAGTTTTATAAATATGAGATGATAGTGTAGAATAATCATATCCAAGGATCAGTGGTGGGTTTCAAAAATTTTTGGAACCTCTTCTGTAGGTGTGGCCTGCTTTCCGGGTCCACTGGTGGAACTTCTTCTAACTGGTTCGGTAGATTTGACGAACTGGTTCTATCGAATAGGTGCGAACTGGTAAGAGCCCACCTCTGCAACCCACCCTTATGGAAAGGCAGACAAAGGACAATTTCATGCATGCAAGAGAGAAAGAGCAGGATGTCCAGTGAGGTTGAATTGTATACAAAGAACCAAGCACAGCACTTACTGCACCTGGGAACTAAGCATCTGACATCGAACTAAGAAATTTGTATATACTCCTTTCTCCCCTAGTATGTGTACATAATTAATCCACAAGCTGTGCTCTTATTTTGTGCAATATTTATATACATTTTAAACACACAAATGTTCAATTACCTGTATTAATCAAAGGGCCTTTGATTAAGTTATATAAAACTTTCATTGAAATGCACAGGCTCAATTCAAAACATACCCAAGACCTCCTGTAATTTCCCTTTAATGCTCCAAGCAATCTAGGCAACAATTCTATAATATGTATTTTAAAGATTATTTTTTATTAAAGTCGTTGATACAACATTCATTTTTTTCTGTCTTTATGATTGAATATGAATACTGTACTTCTCATAATAAATATATTACTGATATAGAGTGAGAAGGATGCTCTCTTGCAAAGAACATTTATTTAGTTAACATTTATTATAGTCATAGACAAACATTGCATAAATAGGTATGTCAATAGGTATGTCAAGTGGACTCACTTTTAACAAAGTTACATTAAACCATCAACAGGCAATATAATTCCCATGATCACCCTTACCGAATTATCAGTAAAATGCTGGGCATCTGCCAGGATCTTTTTTACATCTGACTTAAAACAAAACAAAAATGTGAATGGTTGGGATAAAAAGACAAAAATTACAAAATGTCATTTCAATGTGTGCTGATTACTGTACATTCAAAGTGACAATAAAGTTATTCTAAGACAGTGAGGCATGGTATGACAGGCCAGTCCATGCCGCACTTAGCATATATTAGCACAGTGGTCTCCAACCTTGGCAACTTTAAGACCTGTGGACTTCAACTCCCAGAGGTCTTAAAGTTGCCAAGGTTGGAGACCACTGGGATCTAGATGCCCAGGCAGTCAGGTTCCATGCTTGCAACATGGATTGTTCTTTTTTTTTAGGCAGTTCGGTGTCCTGGAGAATCTTGTCTAGTCCTAGATTATAGTCGTCCTCTTACTGTCACTTGATATCTACTTTGCATGTGATGCATTGAATCAGCTGGCTGTTGATGAAAGTGTAGTATAGGCCAAAGGCATCTTGTTTTGCAAATGCTCACACAGATACTTGCATTTACTCTTGGCACCTGACTCCCCAAGTACCACTCCTTAAGAATTAAAAAAAATCAATCAGAATAGAGCTGGAAGGGACATTGGAGATCTTTTAGTCCCACCCCTGCTAAAGCAGGAGACACTATGCCATTTCAGAAAGGTGGCTGTCCAGTCTTTTCTTTTTTTTAATAAATATTTTTATTAACAAACATGTAAAATACAAACACACAAAAGTTAGACGTACACCACATTTATACAATATAGTAAGAACAGAAACTTCCTGTTTTTTATAATAGCAATCATCAATC